ATTCCCCGCTGAAGTTCAGTAGCACTTATGTTTATCCACTCTGGGCCAACATCTTGGGCTGGTTCATTGCCACAGTCTCCCTCTCCCTCATTCCACTGTTTCTATTATATAAAATAATCCAGGGAAAGGGCACTCTTCGACAGGTGAGCCTTTTTTCTCTCAAAAATTGTGGAATCAGTATGAGATGGCTTATATTTGATGGGGAAGGGATTCACTTTTAAGAACCATCACTGACAAAGAAAAACAATAACTTATGACATACATTGAGCATTCACTGTTTTTATTGTTTATCTCTGCTTAGTTATTTTGGTGTATTAGACATAGAATAGTTTTTATCAGTGGGAAAAGCTGTTAAATGTATGAAAATGCAGTTAAAAGTCCAAAACCTATGACCCTGTTCACATTTTCCAAAGCAGTCCAGTCTGAGTTGGAGACTTTGGTTGGCTGATTCTGGCCCCTGGGTCTGAGAAAAGTGTTTGGATTTTCCCGCATTGTTAAATTCAGTGTTTGAACATTTTTAAAGAGTTTTGGACTGCATACACTGAATCCCTGGCCTTTCACCAGGAGTATCAGCATCAGTATCTCAAATCATCTTACATAAGAATGGGTTTATGGGAAACACTTTTAGAATTAATACATGGAAAACAATGGACTCTTTTTTTCTGTTTAATTAGCGAGCCTTACTCCACCATAATGTGACCGTGGCCTCTGAGTTTCATGTTAAGTCAGTTCTGTCCTACTGCTGCAAATACTTATCAGCACACTAAACGTATTTCACCTTTTTTGTGTTTTTATTACATCTTCATGAAATGTCAAATTATAATATTGTAATACTGAATTGTTCTTTTACAGGAAAACTGAATGCAATTCTTTCATTGGTTGTAAAGTTTCAAGATTGTATTTAATTGTGCCTCATGTCTTCCAAAAATGTTAATCAAAAATCTATTTAAAGATAGCTTTTTTTTAAATCCTCAAAACAATTACAATCTACAATTTATCCTTTCTTTCCTCAGCGTTTCTTAGAGCTCTGCCAGCCTGTAGACGAACCGCTGTTTGATCAAAACCTCCATCTTGCTTTGGGACGAGATGGTACAGCAGACCACACAGACCTCGCTTCTTTATCATGCAATGGGGAAAACACTCAATGAACACAATAACATAACGGACATTGTAAATTACTCTCTGCTCTTCTGAGCTTTTATCCATCTAATGAAACTTAAAGAGTGCTTTGAAAAGAACAAACATGCCCTGAAATTTTTACCTACAGCTTTCACATTTGTACCTTACCTTAGTTTACCTTTATCTAATTATATTTCATCTTTAAGCTTTAATATTTTCAATAGCAATAAACATATATTATCAAAATATATTAGAACAAGCTTATATACTGTTTATATAGTTTGTCTTAAGCGAGCTGAATAATAGAACTGCACACACACACACACACACACACACTCATATAATTTTAAGCTGCGTTACCATTTCATATGAATAAATAAATCCCATGTAGTGATGGGATCAAAATGCTGGCATTCTGATCCATGAGAAGGCAACTCTGTAGTCAGTACTACATTATTCCATGACTAAAGTACTCATGTAGTACCCATCTGTGAACTCAGGCGTAGTTTTGAACTCATCTGTTAATTCTTGTAACTGTATCTAGACCGTTTACCAAATCTGTCCAGACAATTGTTACTATTAATTCAATTATTATTTTTTATTATTTTGTATCGGTATTGTTTGTTTTGCTTAGTCACTTTGTTCATTTCATTTCAGTTTCAAATGTTTAAAAGTGTTTGCTTCTTCATTTTTTCCATAACATGGAGGGTTTTGTATTAAATTCAGAATGTGATTTGCAATAATGACGTCCCAGTCTCAAAAAACACATTCTTCTTGTGGTGTTGTGTTGATAATTTTGACCAAAGGGACAGACTAAAGCTGAAGAAATTTTCTGTATATTATTATTTTAGCTTAGATTCAATACGATATGAAAAGTGGAAAAAGCAGCCAAAATCTACAGAAAGGCTGAAGACCACTTAAAAATTCTACAAGAATATTTTGCTCCTTGTAGTGTAGGTAACTGTATTGATCTGACAATGGAAATTGTTGTGTTACTGCAGCAATATAAAGAATAGGAAGCAAAATATGAAGAAAGGAGGAGTGGCTTCCAGCGTACTGTAAGTATTTCTGTTTCGCAATTTCTTGAATAAAAAAATTAACCCTATATATTTTTTGTGCAGTAAAGCAGATTATTTAATTAAAATGTATTTGAAGAGAAAATAAATATTTTCCACTTAGTGAACCAAACTATAATTTATATATATATATTATTTTACCAACAGACACACACTTTGTAATTATATATAATATATATATATATACTATATATATATATAAATTGATATTATATAATATATATATAAATTACAACATATGAACTTATATATATATAATATATATATTAATATAATATGAATATAAGTAATATATATAATTAATAATATTATTATATAATAAATAAATATATATAAATATAGTATATATATATGAATAAATAATATATATATATATAAATAATATATATATAATATATAATATACATAATATATATATATACATAAATTATATATATATATAAATAAATATATCACTATATATAATATAATAATATATATATATATTATAACTAATATATAATATATATATATATTATATATATATAGATATATAAATATAGTATATAAATATATATAATTAAATAGTATAGTATATATTATAGAATATATATAAATAAATTGTGATATATATATATATTATATATATATATATATATATTATATATAAATATATATATATATATATATATATATATAAATATATATATATATATATAAATATATATATTTATATATATATATATATAAATATATATATATATAAATATTTATTTATATATATATATATATATATATATATATATATATATAAATTATAGTTTGGTTCACTAAGTGGAAAATATTTATTTTCTCTTCAAATACATTTTAATTAAATAATCTGCTTTACTGCACAAAAAATATATAGGGTTAATTTTTTTATTCAAGAAATTGCGAAACAGAAATACTTACAGTACAGCTGGAAGCAACTCCTCCTTTCTTCATATTTTGCTTCCTATTCTTTATATTGCTGCAGTAACACAACAATTTCCATTGTCAGATCAATACAGTTACCTACACTACAAGGAGCAAAATATTCTTGTAGAATTTTTAAGTGGTCTTCAGCCTTTCTGTAGATTTTGGCTGCTTTTTCCACTTTTCATATCGTATTGAATCTAAGCTAAAATAATAATATACAGAAAATTTCTTCAGCTTTAGTCTGTCCTTTGGTCAAATTATCAACACAACAA